GGTTAGCCCGGCAAATTGTTGTTCCTCCATTGTATTCTATTCGATTGTTTCTTCTGTGCAAATAAAGAAAGTCTCAAAGAGGGCACATTTAGGTTTTTTTTGTTTGTTTTGTTTGAGAATCTTCATTGTACAGATGTTTTAGCAGGTTTTTGAAATCGAATTTAGTTCACAAGATTGTGCCATTAGATTGTTGTTTCAAGATTCTTGCTTCTGATGTGTTTTTAAATTTCATTTTGTCTCTTGATGTTTGTTTAATTATGATTACATTTGAAGATTTGTTGGTAACACATAAGTAGTAGAGATTATGAATTCTTATGTATAATCGAATTTGAATTTTTGATTATTGGTGGTTTGTGAGGCTATCTCCTATTAACCAATGGTTATTAAAAGCTCTTTAACGTAATGTTATTTTTTGGTTATGAAATGGAATGATGTTCATTGATTTCCATTTTGTTGCGTACATGATACGGAAAATTGGGGTTGAAATTTATCGAACCATTTATAATCATGGCTCAATAACTATATGGCTTAATTTAATTTTAGATGCTATATAATTGACCACAATTGATTGGCTCATGATGTTATGTAATCTTCTCTATATTAATTGAAGAGACACTAAGTTAAAAAATCTTATGTTAACCGGATCCAACGTCTTTATTAGATGTCTTCCTCTCTCTCTTTCTTTGTGCCACCAGAGAGTGGTCTCTCGTGCCTGCACTAGCTGGTATCAGTCATGTTGCTATTCAGTCTCCTACATATGAGATGATCGGAATCTACTTGGCCAAGAAAGGTAAATTTTTATCCATAAATCTTGTGAATTGGATGAAGTAAAGAAAATGTGAAATCTTTGTTGAGAAATAAACTAAATCAATCAATAATCTCAATGCTCTTCAATTGTGTTTTGCTCTTCACAATGCTCAAAATTATACTCAATAAATTTTGTTTTCTTTTGAGAAATTGGTGAAGGAGGCGCGATTGAGTGCTCTTCGTAACTCGACTGCGTTTTTATTTTGTTTTTTCATTTACCTTTAGCTTGTGACCTATTTGCTTGATTACCTTTGTGCCCTAACGTGTTCGACAAGTTTTGGGTTTATTTCATCAATGCACATGGAAGGCAAAGAAGGTCCTCACATTTATTTAAGTATGATTAAATATTTAACTTACATGATTGGTGGTGAATGAGGACGAATTTGTCAAATTACTCAAAATATTAAGATACACTAAGTTTACATTTTTTTTGTTTTAGTAAAACATTAAGTTACAATTGAATACAAATTATAACAATATAAAATTACGTGCAATTTAACATTTAAGTATATTTAAATATTTGAGCAAAACTTACAAGATTGGTGGTGAATACGGACGATTTTGTCAAATAATCAAAATATTAAAAGTCTATCTAATATACACTAAGTTTACATTTTGTTTTAATAAAACATTAAGTTTACATTATCACAATTGAATACAGATTAGAAATAATCAACAATCTAAAATTATATACAAATTGGTGAAAGAAGGAAAAAAAAGAACGACATTATTCATGTAAACGTTTAAAACCATGTATCCTTCACGGTCGAAATAATTAGAAACTTGAATGTTAAATTTACATTATAATGCAAAAACAAGTTGAACTTGTGATACTTCTAACGATCAATTGAATAATCAAAAGATGGGATACTCAAATTCGGTTGGTTTCAACAATTATGCAATCTAACATCCATATCTCTTGATTAATCCAAGCATGTATAATTCACCGAGAAACTTAAGTGCTAAATTCACATTATAACGCAAAAACAAATAGAACTTGTAATACCTCTAACGGACAATTGAATAATCAACTGACGGGATATCAAGTTCTATTTGTTTTCACAATTATATTATGCAATTTATCACTCAAATCTCTTTTTACCCGTGAGCCTTGAGCGCTTTGAGCCATCTTCTTCACGGTAAATGCGAATCCCTACAACTAAGACAAGGACAATATAACATATTGGAATTAAAAACTAGGTAAACACAATTGAGTATTTATAGCACAATAAAACAAGAAACATGCTATAAAGTATTTAGAAAGAGTAATTAACCATGCAATTCCTTATTTGAATTATCCTCAAACATCAAGTTACGTTTCTCAAAGACGTTTAGAGGAATTCGAGAGTACATATAATTTCTATCTTATTACGAATTCTTAAAACTAAGCATTTGGATCCTATGTTTAATTTTTAAAACGGTTGTGCTTACGACAAGAACATGATTCGTAAAAGAAAAAGAATAGAAATATCAAACCTTTAGTCTTCATGAGCGGATTTTGAATCCAAGTATATGCAGCTTCTTGCTTACTAGAGTATAGGAGAAGAAGGTTGGGAAGATTTGGAACAAGATTCCTTTTTCTATTTTAGGATTGAATCATTATCATATAGAAACGGGAAGAAAAACATATAAACTTGAAAAGATGAAAGCAAAGGAAGAGAGGATTTTTGAATAATAAGTTTGGATCTAACATTTTCTATCTTGAAATTTGGATGCAAGATTCCATTATTATCACATAAAAACAGGGAGAAAAAGATATATGAACATGAAAAGATTAAAACAAAAGAAGAGATGATTTTTGAAGAAAAAGTTTGGATCAACATTTTGGGTCTTGAAGGTTTCAAGATTTAGATACAAGGTTTCTAAGAAAGAGAGGATTATTGAAGTAAGCGTGTGTGTTTGTTCGTGGTATTGGGCTTTTATAAGCAGCTTATATTTTTGTCAACGGCTATTTTTTTTTTTACCGTTGTAAAATTGAGCCTAGCTATTGCCTATACTACGTTTTTATTTCAAAAATTGACCATTGAGATTTTTGTACTGCTCAACGGATTTGACTTAAATTGTTTACTTTTGTTTTATTAATTTTTTTTTGGTCAGCCAAGTGCTACTTCTTCTTTGGAATGATGTTCATTGATTTCCAATTTTTTTTGCGTATATGATACGGAAAATTGGAGTTGAATTTATCGAACCATTTATAATCATGGCTCAATAAATGGAATTAGTGGAAAATAGTGGGGGATCTATATGGCTCAAATTAATTAGTTGTAGTTGCTATATAATTGACCATAATTGATTGGCTCATGAATGTTTTGTAATGTCATTGTAATAATATGCTATCTTTCATTAAAAAGGGCCAGGCTTGTAAGGAAGATGCTCAAGTTAGGTCCATAGAGCTAGGCCCAAACTCACACATCCAAAAGAAAAATAAATAAAATATTGCATTTTTTATATATTTTGATCATTCATGAACTAACAATAACGATTTTTAATTTGCACGAGTTTAATATTTCATGGAACTCCAGCTAGATATTCTGCAACATTTTTTTTGTGTGTGCAAATTTCCATATAGTTATCTATACACTTACATAATGAATACTCGTAGAAAAAAAAAACATTTATTTATGATGTGAATATGATATATACTATTGACTTTAATAATTTTGGTGGTAATGTAAATGGGCAATTACGGCATGCTGATGGGACCAGAGTTTGGTTGGGGTCCGTCTGATTCGTCTGGCTGAGAAGAAAACTACTAATAATATTTTTAGTAATGAACTAATTTACT